TTTTCAGAAGATATATATATATATATATATATATATATAAGGCTCGAGGTCCCGAAAATGTCCCCGTTGGGAAAACAGGATATCACATCTCGTGAAAGTAGCCACGTAAATTGCCGTAGCGGGTATGAAAACACGCGAAAGTTGCTTAATAACAGAACGATTGACAAGTCCCTTTGATGCTAAGCGACTATGGTCATAGCTCACATCATGACACTTTTTAACCAAGTTTCAAATGTAAGGCTTGATGAGCGGTGCTTAGTTAATAACTACTCTTAACTACTCATAACTACCCGGTATTTTCTGGAATATTTCACTAGGTCTACCAAAAAAATTCATGTTTGCCTAGGGGTGATGCGTGGCTACGGTCATTGGCCGTTTGACACAATGAGTACATACCAACACAGCTGATTTGCAAAGAAAAAGGAACAAAGTGACGTATTGAACGAGGAAAGTCTGTATATCCCCGAATAGATGTTTACATGTATGGAACTATGTGGCAGACACTGATGTTGTACAGCACTGTCACTTCAAATGGTGTCGGATGCATTGTCTGTCGACAGAAAACCGACGAGCTCTCTGAAAACAGGCGGCCATATGTTCATCATCTGGGCTCTGCGAAAAAGCTTCTGATTAGCCATTTGTGCTTCATCTTCCACAATACTACAAACACTCTTCTGACGCTGTGTACAGACCTTCCACTGGAAGTTGAAGAAGAACGAAATGGAACGAATTTTAAAGGTTGACCAACTTTCCTAAGAGCAGAATTAGCATGAAGCTTCGCAAACAGAACATACTTATTCATATAAACAATCTTGATTGGAAAAGGAAGGCTATGAACTCCTTGGTGGCCAGTCGATCTGCTCAACTGGGGTCACCTGGATTAACGCAAGAACAGTCAGAATAGGGTTCCACCCTACTAATTTTATTGTTTATCAGTCTCGTTATATATCATTCAGGCAACACTGAAAATCCAGTGTACCGGAAATGGTGAAGCTACATGGCACCGGCTTGACACCGCTAAAGAATGAGTCAGACAATATGCGATTTTTTCCACATCAATCATAATCAATCCAGCTTGCGTTCACTTTTTCGCTGCACTGTGATCGGGACGCAACGCACTTAGTACCGGAAACCAGTAGAAGCCTGGAAATGTTAACCAGCTTTTCGCAAGTCGTTAATTGTTCGCAAATGTGCACAACTTTTCACACTTATTCCAACCGAGGATTGGTAGGTGTTGTGTTTAATCACGGTAACCTGTCACGGTACAATTTGAACGAAATCCACATGGAGGAAGGTGATGATGAGATTTTATTGCAACAAGGTGGGAGGTCCTACCACACCGAGGAACAGTTGCTACGATATGCAAAAATGCAGCACAAACTTGCAGCCTCGCCATCACTAGAAATCTTCTGGTGGAAATATAAACTTAAAGAACCTCGTGGCTTCGCCAGGAGCCAACAGGCTGCTACAGAACAGACCCACGACTCACTCGAGTAAAGTCAGCTAACTAGATCATAACTTCACGAATCCACGGAGCGAAGTTCCCCAAGGCACAAATCTTAGCTGAATTTTAAGCTTTCGAGAGAACGCCCTCAAGAATAGAGCAAATCGTCTGACCCGACAGTCAGCTGCATCAGATGACAGTGCCATCAACAGAGGTGTCTCCTCCAAGAACAGCGTTGCTTGTTCGTTCTGGCAATAAAGTATTTACTATTCATATTCGAATCTCCAACGGAAAATACGTTCGGTGGGTTCCGAGGGGAACCACAGAATAAACAAGAGACTGTTCATCCCCATTACCCTTTCAAGTACTGTACAAGCCAGTCGGAACCGTTGAATCACTGCACGACAACACTTTAAGCCCTCCTGGGAAAGTTTAAGTCCGCTGTACGAGGAAAGCAGACGACCAAAGTCAATCACGGTTGAGTGCCCCGATACGACATTCCAAGGCTTTAATAAGACTTGCGACAGTAATGCCACACGAGCACATTCGAACTGATGAGCCAGATAGTGCCCCTGGGACTTCCCATTTGTGTATGTCGATGTATCGGTTATTCTCCTCGCTGACTCTATGGTCTCAAACAGTATGATCAAATATAATTTTTCCCTCACGGTTTATGCCAATCTGCTGATCATTATGGCTCAAAGTGACCTCTTCATGTATAATGTGAAACCTGTAGTCGCGTCAAGCAAGCAGTAGAGAATCAGCTGTAGTGGAAAGCTTTCAAGTTAACGTCCGAGTGTAACTACTCGGACTCATGTAACCTCCGGTATGTTCGCTGAGCTGAGGGATTTGACTGCGGACGCGTCATCACTAGTTGAGTTGACACTATTCTGAAAGATTAGACTGAGAACGCGTCATCACTAGTTGAGTTGACACTATCACAGCGCCGTATGATGAAGCGGTGCCACACGCCATGTGCGTTTGCTTAGTGGTGATCTGTGACTGACTTTAATTCATGATTGGCTACCTGACTGGGTGGTTCCCATTGCTGACCTGTGTGTGTGTGTGTCCAGTCGGAACCGTTGAATCACTGCACGACAACACTTTAAGCCCTCCTGGGAAAGTTTAAGTCCGCTGTACGAGGAAAGCAGACGACCAAAGTCAATCACGGTTGAGTGCCCCGATACGACATTCCAAGGCTTTAATAAGACTTGCGACAGTAATGCCACACGAGCACATTCGAACTGATGAGCCAGATAGTGACCCTGGGACTTCCCATTTGTGTATGTCGATGTATCGGTTATTCTCCTCGCTGACTCTATGGTCTCAAACAGTATGATCAAATATAATTTTTCCCTCACGGTTTATGCCAACCTGCTGATCATTATGGCTCAAAGTGACCTCTTCATGTATAATGTGAAACCTGTAGTCGCGTCAAGCAAGCAGTAGAGAATCAGCTGTAGTGGAAAGCTTTCAAGTTAACGTCCGAGTGTAACTACTCGGACTCATGTAACCTCCGGTATGTTCGCTGAGCTGAGGGATTTGACTGCGGACGCGTCATCACTAGTTGAGTTGACACTATCACAGCGCCGTATGATGAAGCGGTGCCACACGCCATCCATGTGCATTTAGTGGTGATCTGTGACTGACTTTAATTCATGATTGGCTACCTGACTGGGTGGTTCCCATTGCTGACCTGTGTGTGTGTGTGTGTTGGTCGGTGTCTACCTGGATTCCGGACTTGGCATGTTTAGATTCTTGGCAGGCCACGATAATGACCACTTCACGTTCCACACTGACGTGATTCCCAGTGGGTTCTTGACGTTTTGTCCGTTAGTCCGATAAGGAGCTCCGTTTGAATGTTCCGCTTGCCCTTTGCACAAATGAGTGTACAGACTGGATCTAGTTTTACATGATGGTTGATTAAACTTATCGTGGAGTGCCCTCCTTCCAAGAGTTCCCTTGGTTGTTTTGTATCTCTGCATGCCAAAATTTTAAATTGAGGTGTTATGGAGGTATAAGAGACCGTCTATTGAGTTGGTTTTGTACTGAATAGGTCAACTGAGACCAGCCCCAATCCTTTGCTCCCTTGCTGTTATCATCATAGCTATTATCATTCGTAACATCAAGCCGTGCTCCTGAGCATCTTGCTGGAGTTGTTTATGACTTTGCTGACCTCGAAATGGACAGTGCTGCAACACATCACTTCTAACGCCTTCAGTGTACTAAGCGGGCTGAGTCAGTGGGATGGATAACCGCTCAGAAATGGGGCTGTTCAGTTAAATCATGGTCAGTTATGCAATACTATTTTGCTGCTTTCCTAGATACGACATTTATGACCAGACACATCTCAGGCAAAACGTCCCGTAGAATTATTAGATTGAGCAGTTGGTGTGCAACTTCACTATCTACACTCGGGAATGCAGCTGATAATTCGTTAGTTTTTGATACCTTGATCGCTGAATTGGGACTGCTTTATCAACTGGTTATAATGGTCATTTTAGTGCCTTAGCTGTAAACTTACCAACTTCAGTATGTCAGTCCATCGTTTGACGAGATCCTCACTTAGATAGAGTCCTCTGGGTATTTCATTCACATCTCCTTGGTTGATGGAGGATGCCTGATGAAACTCGGAACATGATGAGGTTTCCACCTCACCAGTCCAAGTTCCAAAATTTTTTTCAGCACGAAAATCCGGTGAATTACTGAAAAACCTGACAATGGATTCGACTTTTCTCGAAATGGGAAAGCAAGCTGAATTTTCTTCAATCAATGTTTCTTGGTTTTCTTCCCGTGCCGCAGTACTTTGAACTGGAGTAGTGAATTCATGAAGAATTAAATGCTGCCCGATGGAGTTGAAGATTTGACCTGCTTTCATTCTCTCGTCATGCGTTACCTACGTATAAAGTAAAATGAAATAATGCGCGTATAAAAAATACGACTGTGTGCAGCATACCTTTCAGTGCAAAGTTAGACGTTCTAAATGAAGTTGGATAAAATCTTGCGACACCAAGATGAGGATAGCATGACGAGGACGAAATTCTGCTGTGAATATCATTAACAATATTACAACATCCAAGCTGGTACTGAGAAGGAATGATGCGTAGGAATGATGGAATATCTTTACGTCTTGCAGAGAAGGTTTCGACTCTGGAATGTCCTGTGGTGCGGTGTTAACCTATGCTGGGATATGATACGGGACGAATAATTGTTTCATTCTCTAAATGTGGAGAGATTTGAGAATTCGCAATCAAGGTTTCGTCCTGTATTGTCAAAAGATGAGAAGCACTGTGTAGCTGTTTCATCCTGTTGTGATACTGTTGTGATACTGTTGTGCATACTTCCTAATTAGACAGTGCGAGTAAATCATATTAGTGATTAGCCGCTCGTGACCGAACGCTTGAGTGTTTAAACTACTATCCGAAAGGCCACAAAGCTCCCTCGAGTTTCATCACATACACACTGCTGATGACTGCAAGTCAGGATGAAGCAGCCGTACAGTGCTTTTTGAACTTTCCACATGAAGCGTCAGTATCCACGTGGACAGCAACAAAAGTGATGACAATGGTAGCTCATTGTTGGACACGGACGGCCTTAAAAAGCACAAACCCACTATAACTTTACTCTCCCGTGTGCTCACTAGCTGGATGAGGATCGAAGACATGCTCGGAGTCAATACAAGTTGCAGGCACCTTTGGTGTCCACAGAGCGAAGCAGATTGACGATCGGGCTGTACAACAGACTTGGCCTATCACTAGACACAACTTCTATTAACATGACGAAACATGGCTCTCTCTCTGAATGAAAGGCACTGACACCTGTGAAACGCTGGCATGAAAGAAGAAGGTCTAATTTCAAGTCGAACTTTCCAGCAAAAAGTAACTACCACTTACGCTAAAGGGCTTCGGAAACACCTTCTCAACTCCCCCCTAGCCCAGATCAACGGTGGATAAAAAAACAATCACACAACTGTACTGATGGCTTCCATTGCCGCGTTGTTTGAAGCACACTTTTACCCAAGCGAATAACGTCTGACGTAACAGGGATGTAAACCCCGTCTGACTGCAAGTGACATGGGAAACAATAACCGCAGATAATAAATGCAGCTCAGTCGTTAAGGCGCGAAAATACTACCCGGAAGGTTCGTGGTTCGAACCCAGCCCCGCTAGCTCGATTGCTAACGTCTAAGCCGTAGCACTCGTGCTTCCTACCAGTGGTATGGCATTTATGCACAGAAGGGGTGCGAAAGCTGAACGATTATTTTTTCTATAAGGACGTGGCCGTTCTGTTCGTTCAGACCGCAGTTGAATATATAACCTCAGGTAAATTTGCTCGGAAGCTCGACACACCCTACGTTGCAGACAGTTACCCGAACGCTCTAAATGAGATTCCCACTAATGCTAGCTGTCCATTTGGCAAAACTCATCCGTCGACTTATTGATTGTTTATTTGTTTTGGGAAGTGATATAATTTAAAATTGTTTTGTTTAACTGGCATAGGTGATCAAGAATAACCACTTGGTTGGGCCTAGATTCCGTCATGGGGAATTACAACTGCAAGTTACTCTAGCTACATTTCGTATACCGCCATCCTGTCTTTTTATGGAGGTCATCTCACTCGCGGAAACATTCACCTCCCTGTCAAAACAACAGTGGACATTTCGTGAGTTAACACAANTTAGACCGGAAGCTCGACACACCCTACGTTGCAGACTGTTACCCGAACACTCTAAATGAGATTCCCACTAATGCTAGCTGTCCATTTGACGAGACTCGTCCGTCAAATTATTAATTGTTTATTTGCCTTCGGAAGTGATATAACTGACAAGCGTTTTGTTTAACTTTCATTGTTGATCAAGAATAACCACTTGGTTGGGCCTAGATTCTGTCATGTCCACAGATGTCTAAATGGGTAATTGCAACTGCAAGTTATGCCAGCCTGTCTTTTTATGGACGTCATCTCACTCGTGGAACTATGCACCCTCCTGTTAAAAAAAGAGTGGACATTTTTCGTGAGTTTACATAAGGTAAATCGACCATTTATTCCCCATCAAAAAGGCAAAATTTTAGAATCATCCTTACACCTATATCACCTAATTACACTAGTCTGTCCTAGCGAGTGCCCTCACAGAATGTCACCCTCAAAACGTCAACCCTAAACATGCAAAATTAATTCATGAAATGTCATGCAATACAACAACCACTGACAAACTATTAGAAGTTCCCCAAGCCTATTGAACAAGGCAACTTTTTCATCTTTAAACATGTGCTCAGGTATTCAGTTAGTTGTTGGTTACTCCCTGTTGTCATGTGACCTTGTGGTAGAGTAGTCATTCACACACAAAGGTATACTGATTTCTCCACTACCAGTGTAACGATGATACTACTGGTTGGGGCCTCCGAGTAGTATGTTTTCACTTAAATCCGCTTTGCGTCTCTTGAAAAGGGAGATCTGTTGCGGAATTTGTGGAGCCGCATTTGCTTGAATTTGAGCAACAGTCAACGAATATCCAGGAAAGCTCACGAAGACGCGTTCAAGGAGAAGACGGATATTCAGTTTTTGCAAATAAGGTGCAAATGAGAGTTTTCCTTCCCCGTCCAATCGTCTGTAACTGTTCAGTTGGCATTTTCTAATAAATAACTCCGCAACGAAGGCCGTCTTTCTTTCACCAGTATAAAAGTGACAGTGGTGATTGATTTATGTATGTGTGTATAGTTTCCCTTTAGTAGCATCAGACATGCACCGCGGAATGTTATCTTATCTTGTGCCAATCTACACCATCACTGCGCAGTATTAGATCTTCCGGAACCAGTTCAAAAATTTCCCGGGAGACACGAGTGTAGAACGGTTGAAGGATTTGCAAATTAGCCTGCTGTTAAAATTACTGCGCAACCTGGGAAGACTTTCCATCAAATGGTCCACTTACACACTTCAGCCGGCAGGCAGGAATGTCAACAACGGAACAAAATGATTGTTTACCTTGAGGAAATACTCACCACTTGTTCATCCAGTTCCCTAAAGCCTAGTGTATCCTTCAGCGCCCAAATCACAAAAGGACGCCAAAACCGTCCAGCTTTTTTAACGATTGGATTACCAGGAGTGGGTGAGATGCACAGGGTATCCAAACGTTCGATAAGGGCCAGATGCAGAACAGTCGTCAACTCACTAATGCCCACGTCAACAAGTTTGAGATGCTGAAAGAGCATTTCAGAAAAAATTTCCTGGTTACCATGATAAATTATACGAAAGGAAAAAGAATTTTAAATATCTCACTGGTTTTGATGGATACAAATCTTGAATTCAGCAAGTCGTCCGAAACTAGACCCTTGTTCAGAGTTGCCTAAAGTACAAAAGCAAAGACTAATCCACATGGCTTAAACAGCGAATGATTTTTCAAACACCCTCATACATTCAGACACGCACTCTGTACGTTGTAGGTGGAAAGCATATGCTGAAAGGCTGTAGGAAGGTGGCCACTCCACCTAATGGCTCTTTGGCCTTGTCTCTGTCTTCAGCAATTACGGCTATGTCGCACGCGAACAGCAGATCAAGAAGGTTCTCACCAGCAGCTATTTCAGCAACGGAGTTATAAAGACCTTCCAGCCTTCGATGCAGTGTCTGCTCGGTCGGAATCTCGCGTGAAGCTCACGGGTTAACTTTTCACTTGCCACCCTAGACGATAGAGAATCGGGGATTTCAGGAGCCTTGTTACGACGTCAGTCAAGCTAACACTGAAATGGTTATTTCACTCATCAAAAGTATTTTTAGACGGTGAGTACTTTTGTTCGATCACCTCTGTTGTTTGAAACGGTCTCTTTATCCCAGGTAAGCGCAAATAATGCACACTGGCACCGATTGGAGAGGTCGTAGCCATCGTTTTAGAGAACAGGCGAAAGGTCATATGAATCAGGAGAGATAAAAATCAGGCGACTTCTGAGAGTGAATGGGGTCCCACATGCGCAACCTATGTTCTTGTCAAGGGTTGACAGTCCGGAGTGAAAGTAGCAGGTGACCGACTAAATTGTCCAAACTAATCTACCCAGCACATCAACCATTATCTTTTGTTGGATACCAGAAGGTTATTGGGGTCCTTGATCGTCTTGCCTACGACGGGCTCCCGAAGAAACACCGAGCAAATCAAGTGCAGCAACCTGGGAGTTTTTTTCGCCAAAATTGGCTTCCTCCACTTCTCGGACCTTCTGGGTCCGCCATAATTCCCGGTCTGTGTGGATTTTTTTCCTAGTTGAATGAAAGGTCGAGTTTGATTGTGATTGCGACTGGAAGGACTCTGTCACTGGATCCCCAGCAAAGTCACGGTCCTTTTGGAGAGCCGGTGCGTGGAACATAGGTAGAATGAGGAATAAGTTCTGGTGTCAAGTAGAACCTTGATGGCGTTGCAAGAGTTGATTTTGATAAGTTTGCTTGACCTCTCGGTCCATCTCAATGTATAAGTGGCGTAGGCAAGCGTGAAAAGCCATGGATCTGCGCATGGTCGGAGTCCACACAGGTATTCCAGATGGAGCTGCAGGCAGTGATCCGTCTTTGCCATCGATATCTGACGTTGTTTTGGTGGCTGTCGAGCCAACGGCTCTGCTGTTCCGGAACTTGGTACTGCAGAGCAACACTATGAGGTCAGCACACGGCTGCAGTAAGCGTCCTCCTTTGTCCATTTGTCTTGTGTAAAATTCTAGTTAACCAGCGACCTCAGCTCCAGCGGCGCTTGGCCTGCGTGCCGCGCGCTCACGTCACCAACAACCACAACTACTTCTGACCTGTTTCTGCTGTGAACAAACACATAGAGCGTCATAGAAGCTGTCTATGGCCGACTCTGAGCACAGGCAGATACAATAAATGGGAAGAGACGGTTCTCTCTTTTTTAACTTCTTTCACAAACTTCGACAAACGAAGCGCTCAGAGGCTTCTGTCAACGGGTACTCAGTAGCTTACCGCAGTGCTGTACCAGGCGTGTCCACCAGCGCATCACTAGATGTGCACGACAGGAAACGGGAAGAGTGCATCAGCAGCCAATCCAACTACAGTGCTTGAGTCTTAGATTCTTGTTTCTGATACATGAAATGAGTCAGTAACCTAGCTCACTGGGTCATAGAGAGTAACAGTTTCTGCAACTTGACGTGGTCACACTGGAATTTCCAATGTCGTGAAATGTTGGAGGGAGTCGAACTCATCACCTTGATTTGCGCATATCACTGGGCAACGAATTACCGCGAGAACTCAGATTGATCTAGTCTATTCTGCAATGGTTGGAAATCTCGCTGTCTGAGCCTGGAAAGTTCCAATGCTCTTTGGTTGCAAGAAAAGCCTTAAGAAAGCACTTTTTCAAGGACGGATTCGGCCTGATACGGCCATAATCAAATCACGTTTTTGGTTAATTGGTGTAAGGGGTGAAAGCCAGATCATCCCTTATTGCGCTATTTCAGTCAAAATTAAAGAGGAATTTAGACTACAGTAAGAGCTTTTCTGTTTGATGCGGTTACAACAGTCCACAAAAGTAGGGGAGAGAAGTTCACGGGAGCTCAAACTTTAAGTCTGATTCGACTGAGAGATAAACAGGTATGCCGTATCTGGACGACATCATTAGTGAGATGACTGATTGTGAAGAAGCGTGTGCAACAGATACTGAGAACTAAAGTAATCAGAAGCGTAGAAGGGCACGTTAGTAACAGGTCCATGCTACGAGATATTCACGGCAACATTCTACTTGTTATCGGCAGTATAAACAAAAGCATAAACCCTGAGCAGGAGTGAAGCAATTACGGTGACACTAACCTTCAAACCTGGCAGAATGACACGAATGTAAGCCAACTCAGGCAACAATTCCTGCCAATTAATTTTTTCCACAAGTAGAGACTGAATGTTTGGCAGGCATGGACCTTTAGCCGAATACAGTAGTCCCGGCTTGTTTCGATCCCCTGGTCGATAAATAGTAAGATCAGATAAGGCCATTTTCAAGGTTGAATGTGAGACCGGCCGCGAAGTATTTGTATCGATTTCCGGCGGCCTTGAGGTACCCGCTAAACGTAAATGAGTTCTGTCATGCACGGACCATCTAACGTAGATTTCAGGCGTCTTACAAAATCGGACGACGGAAGAACTGACCGGCGACATCACCGCCTTGTCTTGTTTCATCGTTGTTCGCGGCCGTGGACAACGCACTAGAGAGGCAACTTTGAAGTTGGAGGTACGTTTCGGTAAAGAGTCTCTTCGGTTACTGTTTGAGTATTTTTTCGATTCACAGCTGGCTCTAGAATGAAAAAGGGAGAGAGAGAGTCGACAGAAGGAAACAGTATCAAGTAAGTTATACGGTGGCTCAAATAGACGACAAACAGGTCCTCACAATATAAATACGATACTTCCTTTCTGAAGAAATCCCTTTGGGCGAAACGCCTCGGACGGGGAGATGATTTTAGCGACAGGATTTTCTCCATGTTGACTCTCCCTCAGACACACTATCCTGTCAGATTAGAAGGGGAAAATGTCTCTGGTGCCTCAAACGGCATCCCATTGGGGATACTACAATGGAAACCCCTATGACACTACCCTAGTCTTTTTGGTGATAGTTACTCCCAGGTGATTAGGTCATTAGCACAACTGGTACACCAACCAATCAGATTATGGGAATGTTTCGGACAAGATATGATTTGACTTATCCAATAGTTTAACCCTGAGATCACGAACAGCACTATATGGTGGAAAATTACATTGCTAAAATGCCAGTTGCGTGTAATAAAGCTGAAGAATACGATGAACCTGCGCGCGATACCCTAATGGCTGTCGAGTTCATGCTGGTCATCAATGTTTTCGTTCACGAGTAAGAGTACATCCTCAAGATGTTTAATAGTTCTTATTAAAGTTCATGTGGACGAGCAAACCAGCAACTATTTTGTGACCTAGATGACGTGACACACCGCTTTCCGCAGCATATGTAAATAACGGATAGGCAAGAACATTGAATACCTGAAGCATATACTCCAGGAAAAGTTAAAACTTCTGTTCGCCTCTTGCAAAAGCTGTTGAGAAATACCCGATTACCAATGAAAATTTATTCGAACATTGTAGAACATGTGTAGAACATATGCTAGGCGCTAATCGCGGTTCACCCGCCCACGAAGAAACGCATTTCAGACTCCCTGGAAGGTAGTTCTTTAAAGAGGGAGTACTTTACTAAGATTTACTGTCAGTATAACACATCTGATCTATGACCAATCATAGATAACCGCCATCTCCATGCCCCATGACAAGGTCAAAACTACCCCTCTCCCTTTTGTCGTCACCCTCACCACCACCACAAGCAGCATCCATTCTCTATCCATTCAGGTTTTGCCATGCGTCGCCAGGTTCCATTTCACACGCCAGTGTAATTATGCCGATGAAATTTTGTTTGGTCGTTACTGTCAAAGCCCAGCTGTTCACGCGGATGAACTAGTTATGTGGTCCTGAGAACGCTTCCTTAATGTCCAAAAATGCCACAATAGCTGGCCATCGCTTACATTTGTCTTTCAAGGCCCACTGATTTGAAATAACCAGCGGGTATCCTAAATGAAAACCTCGATTTATCACTTTATCACATTCAAACGGCTTTGACCGAAGTCTGATCACTTCTTCATGTTCTCAGAGTGAGGGCTTTCGCAGTTCTCTTAAATTTTTATAACAAACAATTTTGACTGTACTCTTTCCCGTCGGATTCACTGTGATCCTTTCCTATATTTCATCATTTTGAAGAAACATTTTTTCTGAATTTTTGGTCACCAAAACACGTCCTTTGGAGTGGTGGAATCGTCAGGCGTTGTTTAGTTAGCTTTAGGAGCAGTAAGTACTTTGACTTTTGCTATGAATCTACTCGGAAATTACTATGAGGTGTTCATTACCCCCTACATTCTGCACGCATTCCAAGTAGAAAAATTCTCGAAAGAGAGTTAACAAAAGTCGGAATTCCGGGAGTACTTACATGGGTCTCTATATGAAGCTCAGTGTGTAAAAAGCACCTCTCATGGTCTTCCATATTGTCCCTTCCTTTAGACTATCTTGCCGTGACTTATCTATTAGAACTTCTGTTTTCGTACAGAAAACCATTTTTGACTTGAGGAAATACAACCATTTGCATACCAACATTATTTTCACGGGATACTCAACTGAATCCCAGCTGAATCGCTCGTTTGTCATGTTCCTTTTAAAGTTAAAGTGCTGCACCAGGCTTTAGGTGTTACGATATTCGAGATATCACAATACACTTTGCTAAGTATACAGCTGAGTGTATCAGTCGAATTTCATTTAATTTGGGTTCAAGTAAAGCACAGGGTTGATGACGGAAAATCTGGGACTGTGCCTACCTGATGAGCCGTAAGAAGAGCGAAGCTGTCGAGTAGTGTTTTACGCCCATTCTTCATTTCACCTAAAAACTAACATTTTCCATTCATATGCACCCACATTTTAGCATTTGCACCAATTCATTCTTGAACTGTTTAACTGTACTCAGTTACTTCTTCTTACCGTAGCTCATTCGAAAACGTGACCTTATGTGAAATGCCCTGGATAGCCAAAAACTGTTTTTGGCTCCAAGTCCTCTATATTTTTGGGTGACTGTCTAACATGTTGACTAATTCTGCCACCAATCAAGAATACTGACAAATTCGTCATCTCGGTGCCTCCTCTTTAATCTTCCATCATAATGTCCTGCAAGTTTGTCCGGATGCCAGCCGTCTCCAATAATCGAACATCACATCATTTGGACGGATGTGTCACGTTCAGGACACGGACCAAACGAAGGAATGCTCTGATTGGTTAGAATGCCAGCCAATCCGGATCGAGCATCTTTGACTAGACGCTTCTCGACCCCTCACGGACATTCTAGCACGACCGTGTGGAACACCCTGTGATTACCCTATAAATATAGTTGTAGTAATTTCCCTTTGTCTCCCTAAAGGGCTGTGTAGAGCTACCGTGCCTTTTGATATACCATAGTGGGCGGAGCAGGAAGCCAAGAGACCGACACAGAGTTGCACGATCGTCTATCAAGTTACAACAAAGATCTTTCATATATCAGCCGAACACACGTGCCTTATGAAATGTCATACCCATTCGAATAAACAAACAATAAAATAATGGCGACACATTCTCTTGTGTATTGAAACATACCTTTGGGCATGAGTATTACGGTATACTCATGACACAGGTCACAGAATACGACAGAGCACTCAAAATCCGGGCCATTGTAATTCGAAGATACCCTGTCGACTAAGATTCAGCCACCGGTTCATGCGTACATACAGAGTTCCTGTAAACTAGCTTTTCGTCATGGCACTGATCCTACCCTACCCTGGACTCATCGCCACTACAGTTCGATCTATCGAGAAGTGTTTTTTTTAATTCGCCCTTGACTTCTCATGATTTTTATCAAACAACTATGCCATTTGCCACATCGGAGTCTTCAATATGAATTAGTGAGGCAATTGCATATTGTGCCAGAAAAAATACTTTTTGGATTGCATCGAAGCATCAACACATACGGAGTGTCTTATGACTATTTTCGTATCAGCAAATAACGAAAACGCGAATAGTGTGCCGGTGTCTATGTTGAATGATGGTGAGGTTGAACAAGATAGCTGGTGTTTTCATGAAGCTCTGTTTCAACTTACGTGATCGCATTGCCCACGTCCTTGTTGCTGTTATTGACAACTCTGTTTACAAAAACACCTGTTTCTGCCTTCGGAATGTGGGTATCTTCTTTGGGAAGTATGCCGGATGGTGGGTTGCTGGAGACACGATCACCACGATTGGAAATCGGTGGGTGCGCACTTCTCCGTGGCTTTTTAACACGGCTCTAATATCCGGAAACAGAAGATGGAGTGAACAACGAAAGGCTTCATTTATGGAATGCACTTCCAAAAGATTTTCACTTTTGGCAACAGGAGTTTAAAAACCCAATTTGGCTATCGATTAAGTTTAACCAAACCGCTGAGCAGGCACTTTAACTCAGAGTCGGTGCGTAGCTCTCCCAAGCTCGTGTGGGAGATTCGACGGCGATTTGCGTCTGATGTTTTTGATACAGTAATAATGCTATTTCGCTGGCAGAAACAGCGGTATGTCCCGGTGGGACAGAAACGTAATCACTTCCACCACATTACAAGATGCCTTGTCCCTGTTTCGTTCACAGTGCTGTTGGTTGAGGTACTTAGTATTTTTGCTTTCCTACTATCATTTGCTTTTCTATAGCCCTCGCTGAGCTTCATGAGAAGTTGATCAAGTTATATTCTTGCGCCACTATTTCTTGCTGAGGGACACGATAAATGAGAGAAGCTACGGTACTAAGGCCGCCTAAAACAAACAGAGTATGGTAGTAACCAGTATTCGAGATGTTGTTGTGCCGCGAGCTTACAAGAACAAACATTCATAACTCTTTATCACATAGTTGTACGCAACATGCACTCGTTTTAATGATCAGTACACTGTTAATCATCTTTCCGTCTCCTTAGACGATTTTGAGAGAATATGACTACTAGCCTCATTTTGAATCTTAACTGAGACCTGGTTATTTGCAAAATGTCCCTTCTTTAGAAATGGAATATCAGAATCACACAGAAGAACAGGGAAAAAGAAGAAAAATGTTGTCGTCTGCTTAGTCAAGGGTATACGATTATACTTGCAGCCTCAGTATGAAATAAACTCATCATCCTTCCGTTTGATCTGATCACTGATTCCTCCCAACCAGACAGCTGATATGGAGTGTTTTTTTGGTTGATGCACGTAGGTTTGATGCAAATATCCATAGGCTACACGCAGGAATATTCGCGCATATATCGAAAGTCCCAATTGGATAGATAGGGCATGGTATATCAAAACCATGTTGTGGTTTGATTCCGCCAGGTTCTCATGCACCTCAGTGGCTAAATCACCCTCTAATTCGTGGCATCAGCATGCGTTTTGAGTCAGAAAACGAGCCAGTCTCTTGTGTTCGGCAATGTGCGCTGTCATTTTCATACTGGTTATACGAGATTTTACTCCGCTGTATATCTCGCTGCTTCGAGATCATCCAGTCCGTAGGTCGCATTCTCGCTCCAGCGTGCCCACGTAGACACTTGCGTCTGAAGCACGCAACATTACACAAGAAACAGCAGACTTCACTCTCCCCTCGGGTAGGTGGGTTAGTGACAGGCAAGGGCAGATCATGAGCTTAATCCTCCTGCCCTTCAGGCACCACAGCAGATTGGTACAAGTGAGTCAGACGATCACAAATGAACACTGAATCCAATTAACTCAGGAGTGTCATATAGACCGACCGAATAAGCTGGAACAAGCACAAAAGCTCATTTAGCTATGAATGATCAAGCATAAATCGCGAGACCACTGCAAGTAGGCCTATCGAACGACCGGTAATTACGGGTGGACTTCATATGCAGTCAGGAGGCAACAGCTAACCGCCAGATTTCCCTAAGGTATCGGGAAAAAGGAGTTTCTCTTAAAATCACAAGTGTTTGTAAGCAGCAGGAGTCGAACGATCCTGTTGATTGCAGTTGCGTAGGAAATTACTGGTTGAGGCGCAACATTACTCACCAATATATTTAGACATCATTCAAAGCCACACATCCCAGAAAAATTCAGATGCTCTTTGCAGCCGCGGGGAAATAGCTAACCAAAGAACGACAAAAATTGGACGAATCACTTAACTGCTTCATTATACTGGAACAGCTTTATTGTGATGTAATTTGCCGAATAAAAAAGAGTGTGAGGAATTCATCTTCAGCCTCTTCGCAAAAACGCGACTATGAAGTATCGGTTGACTGACTGCAATCGTTCGCTTTAAATCTTATTGTAAGGGCTTGCACTCTTGCAGCGTCGGTGTTTTTGATTGTTACCACCAGCCGGATCCTGGTGGCGGTTGAAACCAAGCCTATAGACACAAATGAAGTTGCAGAGGGACGTGGCGAGATAGGTTACAACACCTGCACTTGTTTTCATGGGGTAGGTGGGATACGCTGGGAGGGGGGTTGCCAAGAAATTCTGGGTTATGATTGGTCGCACGAACGTGAACCTTGTCATCATGTTTGTCCTTTACAGTCAAGTTAACCTCGGGGGATGCAACTGACACTAATTGAAAGCGGG